TCAGCCAACGAAACTCTTCTCGTCGCCTATGTCCCGTGCTGCCTCTACCTTGGACATTACCTTCACTGGGATTTTGCTCACCGAGTCGGGGAAGCATGATATCGTTCAGCCATACGTAATGGAGGTAGGTCCGACAGCGGCTGCCTGCTATCTAAGTGATAATTTATATTCACTTCCTTGCTCAGAAACTTCGCGAAATTATTGGCGTGCATACTTGCGACAAGCGACGTACCAAAACATATATCCGTACCAACTACACTGATTTTCGCATTGAGCCTGGTTTCACTGAGCAGGTGAGTCCTAAAACCCCACCTAGCTCGACATTTTCGTTGAACTAATACATAATGCAGGACGAGCTCTGGACGGCAGACTACCGTGAAACCAATGACGAAGCCGACGTCCGCCTCAGATCTGCGCTCGATACTATCTTTGGCAAATTACTTGGCTCAGACGAGACTTGTGAGTCTAACGGACGTGATTAAAACGACCCGGTATATTAACCTGGTTTTACCTCGTCTAGTCTTTTCGATCACCGCACATAGTGGGGCAATTGGTGCAGCTCTGCGCGTTCTTGGGCATCGTGCATATTCTTTGCCTACTGGAGGTGTTATCCCAGTCGTCATCAAGGCAACTAAGAACTGAGATGATTATATCCCATTGTCTCAATTGGTATACACTTGGTGTGAATCCATTGGTGTTTGACCATTTATTTGCTTGGCTGGCTTGAGAGAGTGACCACGTTTTGCCATTTTCTAAATTCAACGCATACATGCCAAACCGCTTATGAATTTCTCCTTAATTATGCTCGGCTACGAGCTACCAGATTAAAGGTAAACCCAGCGCGAGTTTATTTCCCACTAAAGAATACTAAGTGTCAGGTCGGTTTCCGTGAGGCGTGCACAAGGCACGTGACAGCCCCACGCCTCGCATCTCGCTCGAACTGGTGAGATCAAGACGCTCCCTCGTAAGTGTGATCCTCTCCAGATCAACGGTTCTTTATTTTAGCATCATGCTTGGTTCATTCAAGATATTTGGTCTCATACTTGTCCTATTCATCGCTAGCAGCCCCAGTACTAGCGCAATGTCAGAGTTCGAAGGAACAGATGAAAAGACATTCTCCTACGAGGTACGTTGATTTTTCCGCAAGTGTTTTGGAACTACACCCATCTCTTCGCCTACTCGTTCTCCACAGGTTGTGCCAGGGTACTTCGTTCAATCCGATCCTAACACAGACGCCGCAGTCGTCGGCCCCAATCCGCCTGCATTTGGGCTCGAAGCTACCGGTTCTGCTACATACTGGTCCGATTTCAAATCGAGTATAGCAAATCTGCAGAATAATGCACCGGAGGGAGTAAGATATGCAGTTTGTTGGCTTGGTCGACACGGTCAAGGCTGGCGTGAGTACATAGCGCATAGAGGCTTACTTTGCCAATGTTTATTGATGTCCTTGGGTAGATAATGTTGGAGAGTCGCTTTACGGAACTGGGGACTGGGATAATCATTGGTCCAAACTCAACGGCGATGGAAATATAACTTGGGGTCGTACGTGCTCAATACTCACCCTGCAGGGGGCTTGGAAGCTCTAATTACGCCACTTTTATTCTAGCCGATGCTGAGCTCACTGAGCTCGGACAGCAGCAAGCCCAGCTTGCGCACAATGTCTGGGCAACCGAGCTGGCCAAGGCCGATCCAGTTCCTCTGGTGGGTCAATCATCTTGTCTGCCACCCAGCTAATTCTAACTCGACTGGTGGCAGCCAACAAAATTGTTCTCATCACCCATGTCGCGCGCCGCCTCGACTCTTGAAATTACGTTCGACGACATTCTCTTGCCAGCTTCTGGAAAGAAAGATAGCGTTTACCCCTATGTTATGGAGGTATGCCATGCATGTGTTCGATATGTCAATCTGATTGCTCGGCGCTTGAGTAGAACCTTCGAGAAATGATGGGTGAACACACGTGTGATATGCGACGCACCAGGTCGTATATCCAGAAAACCTATCCTGACTTCTTCATTGAGCACGGGTTCACTGAGCAGGTGAGGCCGTCTATCCTGTGCGAGTGATACATTGTTTCAACTTCAAGTTTGCGCAGGACGAACTATGGAAGGCAGACCACCGCGAGACGGACGCCGAAATTGACGCTAGGCTGAAATTGGCATGGGACGTGATTTTTGGAAGGCTTTTAGGCTCAGACGATACCTGTAAGCGTGGCTTAGACCTAACATGGTACGTTCTAATGAGCTGTTTCTTAGTTTTTTCAATCACTGCGCATAGTGGCGCTATCAATGCCTCACTTCGTGTTTTGGGCCACAGAGCATACTCTCTACCTACCGGAGGTGTCATTCCTATAGTGATTCGAGCAGTTCAGAACTAAGACGGGTCCACAGTTTGCGGCATGGGATATATAGAGCTATAACTTATCCATTTACCGTCCGTATGAACCCTACAAAGGTGATGATAGGGAACAGCCGACCACAAGGCTGGTCCTACGGCACGAGAGCTTTCTGTAGAAACACGACATTCCGGATCAACCAGATATCGCAGATTCTCTATTAACAGTCTAGGCGTATGGCCTTTTATACATGTAACTAGATAATGTGAATACATGTTCTACACGTATTCACCACTGTAAAAAGTAGGATACACGAGTCAAAGAACATACGAGAATAAGTAGGACACGTAGACGTAACTATATGCGGGTGGTTCAATCCTTATCCTCAACACTTTCCAGCAATCAAAGTGACCGTGAGATTGCATAGGTGATACTCAAGTGTTGAGACGACACACGCAAGGTCAAGCCATTGATTTCAGGTGGTAATATTAAGATCGGGTCAAAGGAAGACTACAGTAAAAGGCCTGAGCTGGGAGTCGTTGTGCTAAGGTTTATGCAGGTCGCGTAAAAAATATTGACAGATGCAGAATATTTTGCAAACATTAGACTGGCCTGTTGTTCTGAAAAACTATGGTTTAAGGGTCTTTGAATGCGTACAAAACCCGAGCATGCCGAAATATTGGACGTTGGGCAGGCGTGCATAGGGAAGCTTAGTAGATGAGCCCTTGGAGCCCAGCTCTCCTATGAACACAACAGCCGAACTGAAGTGTCAGCTACTTGCTGAAAGATTCAGCCTATGTCTTTCACAACGGACCTAGTATGAAGCCATGAAGAACAAAAGTCTGGCAGGTATTCCGATAAACAGCGAGCGTAGCGCATATACTTAGGGAGCCATCTGATTGAAGTCGCATTGGCGAAAAATAAAACATGTTTCTCAAGCACCAACGCCGAGTGGAGGCAGCTCATATGAGTGACTGGTACGGACTCATAATTAGTCTGTGGTTACGGTCTGAGAGCTTTGGAGGGGTCACATTGGCTTCACGTTCACCCTGGACTATTTGTTCATTTCTAACCTGGATCTTTCTCATACAATTCAGAAGCCGCTCGCTTCACAGCATACATTCACAACATGCGTATGACAGATTCTCGTATGTTACTCCTCTTCGAATCACGTGAAGGATCAATAAACGAGCAAAAGCCTTCCCCATCGCACTTGGCACCATCCCAATAAGCATATCATCTCTCCCCTCATCCCACTTCAGTTCCTTCATATGTTACTTTTTGAGCTTCTCTACAAGCTCTGGAACCGCCTCGAATAAGTCGGCAACATATCCCAGATCAGCAACCTGGTGAATCGGGGCATCAGGATCCTATTACACCATCAATATTTTATTAGTCAAGTGTAGTGCGCTAAAAGGAAGAGCAAAGCGCGCCTTGTTAATTGCAACAATCATCTTGGAATCTTTCATCCCGGCCAAATGCTGAATTGCGCCACTAATTCCAAGGGCAATATATAACTCGGGCGCAACAACTTTGCCCGTTTGTCCAACCTACAGAGCAGGCGAGTCAGGAATCGAGTTTAAAGTCAGGAGCTAGAGGAGAGGGACAGGTGGAAAACAAACGTACCTGCAGCGAATTATCCACATAACCAGCATCCACTGCTGCCCGACTCGCACCCACTGCCGCTCCTAAAACATCCGCAAGCGGATCGATCACCTTCTTGAATGTCTCTGCATCTTTGAGGGCACGTCCCCCTGACACAACGCGTCCGGCCACAGCCAAATCTGGCCTATCCGATTTCTCAACCTTGGTCGCGATATGCTCCGTACCTGCAACGGGGTCCGTCGCGTCAAGTTTAGTCGCCTCGACTGCAGAAGACGAAGGGCCGGCCTTAGGGAAGGCCGTAGCTCGAGCTGTGAAGATCGTATGCGCAAGCGACCCAGGAGCACGCACGCGCGAGATCGCGTTTCCTGCATAGATCGGTCTGGTAAACGTCGTCCCTTCTGCGCTAGACTCCACAGATGTAACGTCTGCAACGGCGGGTACACCTAGTTGGGCTGCGACACGCGGCAAGAGAGATTTAGCCAGTGTGGAGTGGGCAGCGGCGAGATGCGTAAAGGGTCCTTTAGAGCCAGTAAGGGAGGATTTAACGAGGGGAGTGAGTTGTTCGGGAAGAAGATGTTTGTATGTCGGGGCAGAAGCAAAGAGGACATGAGACACGCCGTCTAATCTGCAATTTAATATTAGGTCGACCATGAACGAGGAGCAGACTGGAAGCCCGAAATGGGTAATAGTGACAAACTCACTTTTTAGCCTCTTCAACAATGGTCTTTACCTCTCCTTCCTCGCCGCCTACTACCAACGCCGTAACCTCTCCCTTTAACTCTTTCGCGGCCGTCAATGCCGAAAGTGAAGCCGCGTCGATTGCACCATCGGTATACTCAATAAATAGCAAAGTGCGTGGAGACCCAGCAGGCGTAGCGTATGTCCGAGCCAGTAATCTGGGAGACGAGCGAAGAGAACGGGTGAACATGATGGTGGTGGTGGTCAAGTGGGTGATATTGGAGTTCCGGCTCTCGGGTAAGTCTCATGGTCAGGTGAAATTCACGTTTGATGAATGATCGAAGTAAGGGATGGACTAGGCCAAATCAAGTACTTGGACTGCCAAGGGCATATGGTGTAGTGGTATCACGCCTCATTTGCAGTCATGTGGGAAACTGCATAATGCGACTTGAGGCGGCCCAGGGTTCGATCCCCTGTGTGTCCAAGCTTTTTGCCTTCGTAGACATTCAGGTAGACTGATGATTTTGTCTCTTTTTCCATCGAACAATACTTCGTCGTTTCAGACCTTTCACCTCCAGAACACGCTGCTATTCCGGGAAAAATATGTCCAAGATATCCGGTATGTATTACTCCCCAGACTACTAGTCTACACGTCGAGTTCTAAATCCATACATCCCAATGTGTGCTAGAGTTTTTGACTCGGTCCACTCTACTGCGCTTTTCGTGTCTGGAGCAGCTCCACGCGGCTTTTTGATTCCGTGCGGGCCTTGCCTCCACCTAAGACCTTGCGACGCTGCTTGATCATGTAGGTATACATCACATAGAGACCTATGACACATGTAAGCACATGAGGCGAGTGAATATAATTGGGGGTAGAGTGCGTACCAGGCCACCAGATGATAAAGAACACTCCTCGGAGAAAGTCGTACGGAGACCATTTGCCGCTGAGTGGAGAGGAACGAGGAAGGGTCTGGTATATGAGTGCTGCTTCGGAGGCTGCGCCGAGCGGGTAGAGGATGTAAAAGGTCGTGTAGCTATGGTGTCATGGAAGTAGTTAGCTTCAATTTTAGGAGGAAGGAGAGACTAGACGTACCGAAGGTATACCAGGATTTTAGGCTCGGTCCCAGCCAGATTAAACGCGTAATAGCTGTACCGAATCACTTCGGTAATCGACCACGCCAACACCATACTCGCATAGAACGGGTTCGTGCGCGTCTACAACAACCACACAACAAATTAACACCCATCCACTCATTCAACCAGGCCAGACCAGACCAGACTCACCGAAGTAAATGACTCCGTCACACCCCACACCAAATACAGCCGACTCGCGACCTGCATAGCAGTCGTAACCAACGGACTCCGCACCATCCCGAACAACACATGCAGAACCTCCAACAACGCCCCACTCTGCACAATTCGCACAACAGATCCGACCTCGCCCGGCCCGTACGCCGTCTTGGCGCGTTGGAAAAGCGGGTGTAGGGCGAGAGGGAGCCATTGGGGTGGTTTGGGTGTGGATGAGAAGATGCGTGCGAGTTTGGATGGGGGAGGGGAGGAGATGAGGTGTGTGAGGGTTGTGTAGAGGACGAGAGACCAGCCGAGGCAGGAGACGATGTTGTAGGTTATTAGGTAGTATTTTGTGAGCGGGCTAGGACCTGGCGTATCATTGTTAGGGCTTGGAGAGTTTGAGAGCTGGGATGGAGTGCTCACCTCTGTGGGTCCGCGCTCCGGCATCTTTTTGTTGACGTGACATGGTGGATGGCCGATGGAGACACGTTTAGCGCCTGGAGCTTATTTCCGCTTGCGCTTTCCCACGATACCCGGCTCTTGGAAACCCCAATCAATCCATTTGGTCTGCGTTGCAATTCAATCTTGGACTGATTTATCTAACTTGTGATGTCTCCTCTTACGCATGCCCAAGTTATCTCTTCTATTCCTAAACAGTTCGAACGTGCCAAAGCCTCTGGTGCGCTGTTGTTCTACCCATCTACGACACATCGTGTGGTGGACCATAACTTCAACGTAAGTCTTCCCCACACAGCTCATCACTCGTATCTAATATTTAAACACTCGTTCGGTTATTTTCTACTTGGTACAGTTCGAGATCAGTACCTGCCCGGCTCTCCAAAAGAAACCCACACTCCCCGCACCCGATTTCGTGAAGCATGACAAGCCAGATCCGTTTGCGCCACCTTATGTTGAGGACCTACATGTTGGAGACTTGAAGGACCAGTTGGATGGGGATGAGTTTGTGATTCTTGTGCGTGCGTAGCTCTTTGGTTTGGTTCGAACTGAGCGTTATGTCCTAACGATTGTTTCCTGGATGATTTAGTTGAATAAGTTTAGCGTTGTACCGGGACATTTCCTTATGGTCACCAAAGGTATGTGCCCCGTAATGCCCTTCGTGTACGGTCTCATTTATCTTGATATTTAGATTTCCACCCTCAGGATTCCCCGCTCACCCCACCCGAACTTACCCAGGCATACCTCCTTATCCGAGCTGCGAGGAAAACTGCCACGCCCATCTTCGCATTCTACAACTGTGGAAAAGATTCGGGTGCCAGCCAACCACACAAGCATATCCAATTCATACCTACTAGACGCGACGAGGGTGACGGAGAGGAGGAAGACGACGAGGAAGAGGAGAGCGCGAGCCCACCTGCTGAGGCGTTTGTTGCTAGGTGTAAGATCGAGGACGATAGTGAGTAGTTTTGTTTGTTGCCGACCAAGATATTGTCGCCTAATCAGACTTTATAGCCAAGACGTTTTCACTCCCACTTCCATACGTACACCTAGTCCGGAAGCTCGACCTTTCAAAAGCTGCAGCGACAGGCACGAAACCTCTTTCAGAAGACGCTCTCGAAGAACTTGGGGGAAAGCTCACGGATGCCTTCTTGGGACTCCTAGACGAGGCCATACACGCAACACGACTCTACGATACCCACGACAAGGGATCAGCCGACAAAACGCAAGATGCGCGATCACGAGTAGCATCTCCCAGCTATAACATCCTTCTCACTTCCGAACATATGCATCTTATCCCTCGCCGGCGCGAGTATACGACTGAAGAGCTTCATCCTGTCCCGGACGCTGTCGCTGATTCGATAACAGTTCCTGATGAGTACTCGGCCCCGGAGCCGGTTAAAGAGGCGGACGGAGAGGCTGCGTATACGCCTCAAAAGTTGAGCGTCAACTCTCTCGGGTTCGCCGGGATGCTGTTGGCGAAGAGCGATCCAGAGTTGAGGGCGATTCGGGCACGCGGGGTTGTGAGGCTCTTGACGCAGGTTGGAGTGCCGAGGGTAGAGGTGGAGGAGGAGTCAGAAGGTACTCTAGCTTGATACGCTGGGTGAAGATGTATGTTCTAGACAGGATAGACGGATGTCAAAAATAAAGTAGATGATTCACTTTAGGCTTGGTCTCGCTCATTTGCATTACTAAGCATGACGTTGCCGAAGTACCTGAGGGTCGACGTCCTTAGTCTGGAACTCGTCCTTGTCTTCGCTCCCATCCTGATCGCCAACCAGGCAGCGGACACGACCCAAACGACCTCCACCTCGTGAGCTTAATGTCGTCATAATTGCTGCCTCGTGCATCTCGCCTATGCTGACGTTCTTGAATCCAGCTTAACCTCATTGTCGACTTCTGATAACGTCAAGCAAAGTTTGAGGCTCGGACGCGTGGATCGGCCATTCCGCAGCTGTCGAGGAGCACCACAGTCTCGGGCACACTCGTCAATATATAAGACACCCTCGCGCTTATCGGACAACGCGTCTCTGAGTGCTCCCGCGATGAGGTTCAGCACGGTCTTGGGCGTCGGCGCCTCGTTTGGTGTAGCTCGGGCGGCGATCGGGACAGGACCACACTGGCCGGGGTTTAGTGCGCTGCAGTATATGTTCATCTTGTGAGTAGTTCACGTTCGCGGCTGAGCGGAGACGGTAGTTAAAGCTGCTGCCGCTTGCTCTGTTGGTAGCGGAGACTCGTACTCGACTGTCTCCTGGGCTCCCTCCACAGCGCCCAACCCAACACCTGAGCAGCCCGTGGGCGTCCAGTGGCCGGGCGTAACGAGTGTCGGCGCGTTCCAACCCAACTGGGTACGTTTGTCGCTTCATTTCCGCGTCGGCGCTTCCTTTCTATTCCTGTCCCGCCAGATCCACGCTAACCTAAGGTCACCAAATATAGGTCGGGTATATGACCAACGGGTTCAACACTTCAAGCCTGCTTGCGTACGACTATGCGATATCTGGAAACAACATCACGGGCTTTACGTCTCAGATCCAGACCGAGTTTGTGCCTACTGCTGGACAGAAGCCAGATGCGACGCCTTGGACGGCTGATAACTCACTGTTTGGTACGTCGAAATTTGTCCTACTTATCAGGTTGACACCTGGGTGCTGACTGCGTGGATGTAGTTTCGTGGATTGGCATTAATGACATGGGGTGAGCACACACGCTTTATCCCTGTTAAGATTACAATGCTTATCGTTGCGGCTAGGGAGAACGCTCCAATAGACGCAACTATAGACCAGATAATGCAACAACAACAGAATCTCTACGCCTTGGGTGCCCGAAACTTTCTTTTAATTAACATGCCGCCTTGGGACCGGTCGCCTATGGGTATAATCTTCTTAATTAATAGCTTTTTACAATTGTTAGCTAACACTGGTCCGGTGATAGGAACCCCGATAGCCGGCCTTGGTCCCAAGATCCTCACATGGAACGCTCAGCTCGCAGCTAGCGCACTGGCGTTTTCAGTCCAGAACACTGACACATCCACGCTCGTACGCACCTTTACTCGCTGTGCAATCCTAGATAAAATCTCATACATCTCGTCTCCATCACTCGAAACCAGGTATTCCCCTCCTGGGACACATTCACCGGAATCCTAAACGACCCCTCACACTATAACATCTCCGACCCCAACACCATTGGTGGCGGCGTATGGAAAGACGACCTGCATCCAACGAGTTTTATGCACTTTCGGCTCGCAAACGACCTTGCGGGGTATCTAGTCTCCCTCCCAGCTAGCCCGTCTCCATCTTCAACTACTGCGTCAAGCGTTGGATCCTCATCGACTAGTGCCGGGGTGGGCGTAGGGACGCAGACCTCGTACCCTGCTGCGTCGGCTGTGTATAACCCGCCGTCGGGTACGCCGAGCCCGTCTTCTGGGTGAGTTATGAGAGTCTATAGATTTTTGAGTGTGCGCTCATTCGAGTTTTACAATCTTGCGTAGGAATGCAAGGTGGTACCTAGATTGGAGGATGGCGGGTGTGGTGGGGTTGAGTTGGGCTGCGCTTGTGGGGTGGTAGACTAAAGACAAGAGGGACTAAACAGTGGTTGTTAGAGGTGTTTTGGTTGATTCGGTAGACTCTCTGGGTTCGAGGGGCATATGGAGTTATTTATTCTAATTTTAATATACGTCATGACATGTTGGATCTGTTTATCGAGGTTCAAGTGCGTAAACTGAATAATTGTGCTTGGTGC